GCGAACAACCCGCATAAGCAGCGCCCAAAACCCGTTGACGGTTGGGCCTACCAAAATCAAACAAACGCCTTGTACACACCAACTATAGCCTAGGGCAAACCAAGCATCAAACCAGCGCAGAAAGCTCCAAATAAAGAGTGCCTCATAATTCGGCACCTGCAAAGCAAAACAAATCCCAAGATCAAATCCCGTCGCTCGAGGATTGCCCACTACATGCTCTACAAACACGCGCACACTCACACACAAACGCCAGCCAACTGATAAACACACACATGCTCCAGCACGGCGCAAATGCCAGCCAAATGACAGGTCCACCCTTCAAGTGCCTGCCGCTACTGCAGACATGCCAGCCAAACGACAAGTAGACAGTAGACAAGACAAACTTGTTTAACTTCAAGCAGCATCACTCTAGCTGCTCGAGCAGTGGTTTGTCATGTATGCATGACATAATGAATACGTCAGTACCCAGAACGTGATACTACTAATTATGGTCCCTGGAAATATGTCTTGCTCAACTGTCTGGTGATGAAAGAAACTGGACTTGCAACCAAACCAGCAGGTCATACCAGGTGAGAACGTCCGCAGCGCTTGTACCAAAATGGGAAACGCAGCGCTTGGTCGCTGCTCACACGGGGCAGGGTGTTCAAACACGCCGAGATGAGCCAAGATACATCTACACGACGAATCGACTAAAAGCTCCGGTGTCCAAAATAACATAGCAGCCACAAAATGCTGAGCAACACAAGCCAGCCAAAAAGAAGAGCGTCGTAACCGAAGTGAGGCTAACTAAAATGTGCTCTCAATGGCTTGATCTGTTCGATCCTTCAAGAATGGGTAGCTCTTCTCGCTGAGAACTTTGGCAGCGTCATCGATCTTGTCCGCATAGGCGGGCGCAGTGCCCAACATGGCCGCGGCGCCTACCGCAGTGGCGATCGGCACATGCCGGCCAGCAGGGGCCGGCACGAATGCGCTCTGCCAGCCACAGTAGGCCGCCACGGCCGCCGCCGCCACGATCATCTTGCTTGCCTTTCCCATGGCTGAGACGAGGAAACTGGGCAATTACGGAGTCACAAAAAGTTACTTGGCCAAAGGCTGAAAGCAACACCCCGACACCACATGGAGCAACATGTCTTTGGCTGTCAGGCTGAAGCACTTGCAAGCTTCTGCTCAAGTCAGCACTGGCAAACAAGAACATGCTCAGCGAACAACACAACTAAATGCTGGAACAAGCAAGATGTGCTCAGTGCTGAAATGAGCAGCAACCCTAAGCGTCTCTTTTGCTAAAGCTCCTTCAGCCGTCGCAGCTTTGTCACTTGCGACCTCTTAAACGCAATTCACGGAATTTAGCAATAAAATGCTCGATCGACAAACACATCTGAGCCTCGATGCTGACAGCAGGGCGCCAAGCAACAGGACAGGCTCAAATGGCTAAAACTCTATACAGATTGCACAAGACCAGGGAGACTGCGTACAGCTTATCGCTGGGAAGCCTTGACCACATCCTTGAACTCAAGGAATGCCTTGTAGGCAGCCTTGGCATCGTCAGCACTCACCTTGGACATCATGTAAGGCCCGACATCCTTTCCCAGGCTGAACTTGTTGAAGGCGTTGTACACGTCCATGGTCTTGGATGCCGGCACTGACGCAATCATGTGCCCAATGGCAGCATTGGTGGCGGTGTAGTCCGCGAGAGTCGTGACTCCCTTGCCATCAATGCTTTTGATGGCCTTGCTGTGGGCCAAGACGCCAGCCTTCAGAGCCTCCGGGTCCATCGCAGCGCCCATGACCAACATCTTGTCGATGGCCTTCAGCACCTCCAATGGCTTGGCGGTGGGCAGCACTCCGTAGACGCCGTCGGTCCAATCGATCTCCTGCGAACAACCCGCATAAGCAGCGCCCAAAACCCGTTGACGGTTGGGCCTACCAAAATCAAACAAACGCCTTGTACACACCAACTATAGCCTAGAGCAAACCAAGCATCAAACTAGCGCAGAAAGCCCCAAATAAAGAGTGCCGCATAATTCGGCACCTGCAAAGCAAAACAAATCCCAAGATCAAAGCCCGTCGCTCGAGGATTGCCCACTACATGCTCTACAAACACGCGCACACTCACACACAAACGCCAGCCAACTGATAAACACACACACACATGCTCCAGCACGGCGCAAATGCCAGCCAAATGACAAGTAGACAAGACAAACTTGCTTCGAGCAGTGGTTTGTCATGTATGCATGACATAATGAATACGTCAGTACCCAGAACGTGGTACTACTAATTATGGTCCCTGGAAATGTTTCTTGCTCAACTGTCTGGTGATGAAAGAAACTGGACTTGCAACCAAACCAGCAGGTCATACCAGGTGAGAACGTCCGCAGCGCTTGCACCAAAATGGGAAACGCAGCGCTTGGTCGCTTCTCACACGGGGCAGGGTGTTCAAACACGGCGAGATGAGCCAAGATACATCTACACGACGAATCGACTAAAAGCTCCGGTGTCCAAAATAACATAGCAGCCACAAAATGCTGAGCAACACAAGCCAGCCAAAAAGAAGAGCACGTCGTACCCGAAGTGAGGCCAAGTAAAATGTGCTCTCAATCAACTCATGCAATCAAATCCCCAAACTCGCTTCGGCTTGATCTGTTCGATCCTTCAAGAATGGGTAGCTCTTCTCGCTGAGAACTTTGGCAGCGTCATCGATCTTGTCCGCATAGGCGGGCGCAGTACCCAACATGGCCGCGGCGCCTACCGCAGTGGCGATCGGCACATGCCGGCCGGCAGGGGCCGGCACGAATGCGCTCTGCCAGCCACAGTAGGCCGCCACGGCCGCCGCCGCCACGATCATCTTGCTTGCCTTTCCCATGGCTGAGACGAGGAAACTGGGCAATTACGGAGTCACAAAAAGTTACTTGGCCAAAGGCTGAAAGCAACACCCCAACACCACATGGAGCAACATGTCTTTGGCTGTCAGGCTGAAGCACTTGGAAGCTTCTGCTCAAGTCAGCACCGGCAGACAAGAACATGCTCACCAAAAAACATGACTAAATGCTGGAACGAGCAAGATGTGTTCAAGCTGAAATGAGCAGTAACCCTAAGCGTCTCTTTTGCTAAAGCTCCTTCAGCTGTCGCAGCTTTGTCACTTGCGACCTCTTAAACGTAATTCACAAAATTTATTCGTACAATTCTCAATCAACAAACACATCTGAGCCTCGATGCTCACAGCAGGGCGCCAAGCAACAGGACAGGCTCAAATGGCTAAAACTCTATACAGATTGCACAAGACCAGGGAGACTGCGTACAGCTTATCGCTGGGAAGCCTTGACCACATCCTTGAACTCAAGGAATGCCTTGTAGGCAGCCTTGGCATCGTCAGCGCTCACCTTGGACATCATGTAAGGCCCGACATCCTTTCCCAGGCTGAACTTGTTGAAGGCGTTGTACACGTCCATGGTCTTGGATGCCGGCACTGACGCAATCATGTGCCCAATGGCAGCATTGGTGGCGGTGTAGTCCGCGAGAGTCGTGACTCCCTTGCCATCAATGCTTTTGATGGCCTTGCTGTGGGCCAAGACGCCAGCCTTCAGAGCCTCCGGGTCCATCGCAGCGCCCATGACCAACATCTTGTCGATGGCCTTCAGCACCTCCAATGGCTTGGCGGTGGGCAGCACTCCGTACACGCCGTCGGTCCAATCGATCTCCTGCGAACAACCCGCATAAGCAGCGCCCAAAACTCTTTGACGGTTGGGTCTACCAGGTTGGTAAACATGCCTCATATAAGGGTTATAGCTATAATAATCCCCAGCAGGGCACATGCTAGATGGCCTGACTAGAATGGCCAACGAGAACTTTGGCGTCAAAGATTGACTTGTTTAGGTATCAAAACCCCTTTCAGTACTTGGCCTCCGGTTTGTTGAGCCCACGTCATGCCTGCGTGCACAATAGCCGTCATGTGTAGTATGTTTTTGCGCGTCTTATCATTTGCGTGTTGCTTATGTATCATTTTGGAGAGCCTCCCAAAACAGGCTTGAACAAGTACCCTTCGGCAGCTCCAGCTTAAAATTGTCGGTGAAAGTGCAGTGTTCGAAGTACACTGTTGTCCAGCTCAAAAACTGGCAGATTTCCCGCAAAAGTGTAGCGTGCCAAGTACACATATCACATCCAGCTCCAGGTCAACAATTGCAGAGTGCAACCTTTCAGTAAATCTCCGTTGCTGTGTCACTTGACTTCAACAGTCGAGCCAGTTCTCATGGCCAGGAAGAGATTCTCAGCGAAGGCCGTTCAAAATGCAAAGAAGCTAGCAAGGAAAGACCTTGTGCTCGAACCGAGGCTATGTGAAACGCAGGCTCTGTTGGAATTTCATGTTGCCACGTGGTTTGATCTGTTCGATCCTTCAAGAATGGGTAGCTCTTCTCGCTGAGAACTTTGGCAGCGTCATCGATCTTGTCCGCATAGGCGGGCGCAGTACCCAACATGGCCGCGGCGCCTACCGCAGTGGCGATCGGCACATGCCGGCCGGCAGGGGCCGGCACGAATGCGCTCTGCCAGCCACAGTAGGCCGCCACGGCCGCCGCCGCCACGAGCACCTTGCTTGCCTTTCCCATGGCTGAGACGAGTCACAGGGGTGGAGTGGATATCCAAAGCTAGCGCACACAAATCAAAGCGAGCTCAAGGTCAAAATCGGCTCCGTGGGGTCTGCAGGTCATGCAAACGAAGGACCGCAGCAAACCGCCCATCCGGCCTGCGAATCCGCGGACCGCAGGCAACCACACCAAGCCGAATCAGGCCAAACGAAACGAGTACCGAGCACACCAACCAAACCAAACCAATCAAAGCCCACCAATCCAAACTCAAGCCCGCCCCAACCCCGCCATCCCACCCACCCTGACCCCCTGACCCACCCACCCACCCACCCACCCACCCACCCACCCGCCCGCCCGCCCGCCCACCCACCCACCCACCCACCCACCCGCCACCCCAATCCGAAAAGCTCGCCGATTCGCCGCCTCCGAGGCGGTGGCCAGGGCCTTCACGTGGTCCTCCTGACCGATTTGCTGTTCGATGCTCGCTTACCTCCGGTGGGTTGGGGATGGCGTGGGGATGTTCTTCTTTGCGGTTGGTGGGTTTGGGTGAAGGGGGGGGGGAGTCGTGGGAGTAGTTGGTAGGTTGGGGTCGGTGGTTTGCGGGCGTTGTTTGGTTTGCCCAACATAAGGCCATGTCATCCACATCCCGCTGGGAGAAATACCCGTGTGATGTGCAGCTTCCTGTGAGACAAGCGCCAAATGGCTTTCGTCGTCAACAAACGAAGGAAACTGCACGTCCGAATGACAAAAAAGGAACAGCCACAAACACCATTGCAAGCGGAAATTTGCTTTTTCCCAACCAATCCGCGCATTTAGAACCTGACAGAAATTACGACTCTACGACCAAAACTGGAGCCAACAACAACTCCCGCAATTGCGACATGAGCCACGTTGGACATGGGCAAATGAGTGCGTCTAGTACAACATTTGTTTGTTCAAGAGTTAATGAGTCCCCCACGTCGTTTGGCATCGTGGGTTAGAAGTGTTTCTTGCCCCTCAAACTGCGACTGCCCGCCGGTGGAACGCGGGAACGTCCAGGGCTACGCGGCTACCCATGTTTTTCCCCTGGCGGTCGACCGCCCAACGAACACATCTCTTAAAAACTGCTCACTTGCACACAACGGCCGGATTCGTCGGACCCCTCCGATTCGCCGCCCCAACCCCAGCCACTGGGCCTTGTTCAGCGCCAAATGCGCCTCTGCGCACAGCAGGCGCTGCTGCAGCGCCGGGCCCACGCGGCTCCTTTCTCGGGATCTCGGGATCTAGGGACCCACGCAGTCCCTACGGGTCTTTCGAAAAACGAGCACGGAGCAGATGCCCATAGAGTCATCAAGGATCTTTGCAAACGCGATGCCAAGCCAGTGGAAGCCCTCCATGTGAGGACGAAACGCGGGAAACCGTGTCAGCTAGCCAAGGTGTGCGAGCCAAAAGCGGTTTTCCTACCCTCTTTGCGACACACCAAAACGGGAGATCACCCTCAAAAAAGACACACCCACGTGCACAGGGCACCCTGCGTGGGTGGAGGCAACAGCATCTGAGGGATCATGATCTGCCGCGAGGCACTGGAAATCTATGTCGTTTGTGTCGCTGTAGTGGTTGAATTCGCAACTCTAGAGAGCCCCGAATCGACTGCCAGGTAGAACCAGCACACCTGAAGCAGTTGATCATAAGTCAGGAACTGCAGATTGAAATTCACAAGAACGCCACTTCTCAGGAAGCCTGTGACTTCTTGCAGAGCCACAAAGTATACCGGGCCAAACTGTGCTCAGCAACAAGGAGAGTGAACCACGAACTCAAATCGACTCGCCCAAGACAGCCTTCCCAAAACTTGGAAGGCACGTACTATCATTTCGCGACCGGCTATTAACACACCTGTTTGAACACACCCTCCATGAGACGATCGCCACCTCCTTCCCCGGTCAGACTCCTCCCCAGAGAGGCGAAGCGCAAGAAGTTGTCCACCGCGCTGTCCTTGCCTTGCTCCAGCAGCAGCTCCGCCACGCGCAGATTCGCCTGCGATTCCGCGGCTTAGCGCACCGAAAACCCGGCCATTCACGCATCTCGCTTCACCCCACCCGGTGGGGGGAACTTCTGGAAAAAGAGCCTGACCAAAACATGGAGCTGAGTTTACCTCGCAATGTTCTTAGGTTTTGTGTACTTACAAGCGCATCTTTGGAGTGAAGAGTAGGGTTGTTCCAGCATGTGGGCAGTGGCCAAACTTGAGAATGAAGAGGCGGTCAGCTTTCTCGAATACAAATCAGACTTACTGCGAACTGTTGGAAGCTCTTGTTCAGTCTCCTGGATCTTTCGTCCAGCCAAAAAAAAACAATGACCATAAGGGAATAACTTGGCAAACCTGCCAACCATGCGATCAATAGGCGATCCGAGCCGGGTTCAATCTTTGCTTCTTGCTGAGCGGGAGGAAAAAAATGTATTCGAAATCAAAAATTGGGGGGGGGGGGGGGAGGGGATTCCGAGTGGGGTAGGATTTGAGCCAGTGGCTTGCAGTGCAAATCGCACGAGCTTCGCCTGGATGCCTCGCCCAGTCCGCAAACCAGAGCGCCAATCACACACCCAATGGATGCGCTACGCCTCCATGTGCGAATCTCGGGCCGCTCAATTTGGCAAAATTCTAGCAAATACAAACGGGTGTGTTGAATTAGGCGGACCCTGTTGATTTCCCTTTGCTTTCCCCGTAAACTATTTTGTTAACAGGGTGTCTGAAAGATAGACACGAATCGCATCCCACAAACGTCGCAGCACGTCCTCCCTCGCCTCCACATCGTCGGACTTGGTGGAGAGCATCTGCTTCATGGCCGACAGGGCCTCGTCCAAGTTCCCCAGGTCCTACGAAAGCCACGGGCGGTCCGAGCCGCCTCCCACGAGGAACATGGTTTGACAAACCCAGCTATCCCACCCAAACCTCACTGCAGGGTGCTGGAAACCAAAAACCTGGGAACCTGACTGCGGAGGGCTGCAAGCTGGTGGGGTTCGTTTTACTTGGAAGGCTACCCCGTTGCTCTTGGGAAGAGGAAAAATGCGCTGCATTCATCAGGATTCGAGGTCTGCTGGGTGCTACCTTGCTACCTTGCTGGTTCTCAGGGAATGAGTTGGAATGACCCCCGCTTCCCTTAAGTGGATCCACAGTTTCATTCCCCAAACCACTGCGGGTACATGCCGAGAACCAGCAAGCCCTTCCAGGCACCCCTAAACAGGTGTAGGGGTACCCAAAGGGAGAATTGAGTCACGTCTACCGGACCCCACGTGAGTCCTGCTGGCAGTCTGCGTAGCCCATGAGCGCCTCGGTGTTCCGCGGCTCCCGGGACAGGAGGCCACGGTAGATGTCCACGGCGTCGTCCTAACGGCTCGACGGCTCGGCGGTGTATGGCGGCGCTCCGTGGGATGGAAGGGACAGGCACAGGAAAAGTCCTGCAAACGCGGAAACCGAGTGAGTCCTCTGTATGTTTGGTTGGGAAATTTCACGGGTCCCAGGTCCCTCCCAAACGGAAGTTCCATCTGTCTCCAAAACAAGAGGCCATCGAGTCTCGTCTCATCAAAGGTTATCTCATGGCCGGAAACTCTCCAAAGGGGCCACGATCTGTGAGTAACAAACAGAGCTGCAAGCGTTGATCAACAAGTTTCTTCCAACTCCAGCTCTTGGATGCCTCGCTCCAGCACACACATAATGGACCTATCCATCCGGGCATGAATGTGACTTCAGAAAAAGAATCCGTGTAGGCATGTTGTTTTGTTTCAGATGTCCCCGAATCCATATTATTTGGATTTCGGTGGGCGTGCCCGGCAGCCCCCCCCCCCCCCCCCCTTTCCGGACTCCCGACATCCCGCCAGCCCTTTGCCCGCTCCGTGTTGCCCATCCGCCGTGCGCGCTGCGCCTCTGCGAGACCTTGCCCTGCGATGGGAGAGAGCCAAATGGCACGAGAGCCGAATGGCAATTGCACTTTGGGTGGGGACCCATTGGTTTGAACATGTTTAAACCACTGGTTATAATCATTAATTCCTTGTAAAGGTGGTGTTTCAACCATATTTTGCCCCACCCAGCTGGGCCTGTCCGAATGGGCAATGTCACTGGGCTATATGCTAGTGTTTTTGTTTGTTGAAGGTGCGTGAAGTTGTTCCTGCTCTTGTAAATTGAACATTGGACTGGCACTGGCCATCATGCACCAAGTGCTCGTGGGTGTCAAATTAAAAGTTGTGTTTGGTCTTTGTTGACCTCCAATTGTCAGGTTGACTGGACCACAAAAACAATCGCGCCATCGTTGGAGTTGCCCTTTTTGGGTTGGTTGAAAGGAAGTGAAACGATGGCCAGCACGCCCTTGTGGGGGGTTGATTCAAAGGGAAACACAGAAACATTTGTGAGATCGAAGCTCCGTGTTGAAGGGAAACGTAAGGTTTCCATGTCCCGCATAGGGACAAACCCGACATGGGTCTGTGAGCTTGGACAAGTACAGTTTCGTTTACCCACACCCTCCCTTCCCCCCGCCCCGCCCCCCACATGGCAGCTGGCAACTCTTCCACATCCTCTCAAGCCCCGAGCCAAGCTCTCCCACCTGCACTGCTGTGGAAGCTCTCCTGGATGGGGAGGAAGCCACCGAGTCCTGGCCAGGTGACCCCGGTGTCGTTTCTGAATGTTTCAGAGAAAAGGCGGGTGTAGAGCTCCAAAAGCCAAAAAAAAACGCTTGTGGGAGGAATCTGCACACCTCACTGGGCAAGATTCGCAAACATCTGCACACCAACCCTTCAGCTTTGTCCCCATGGCTTGGCGCCCCTTAGTTTGGACGTTGGGGGGGGATCTGCCCAATTCGTTCCCCAAAAAAAAGCTGGGCTTGAGTCCCTACACTAAGCACCAATCAAGGGTCGGCTTTGTTCAGAAATTCGCTCCGGCCCTGTATTCTGGACTGGAGTCTACTTTGCAACTCACTTATTTAGTAAGAGTTGTCGTTTTTGCAATATAGGTGTGCCTCACAATATGGAAGGGTCCTAATTGGGTGACTTCCTTGTCACTTCCCTTTCAACATACCCGAAACAACGGCGCCCCTCAAAACGGACGCCGAAGCCCACGCCACACCTCCGCCTCCACCACGGCCTGGGGAGTTCCGGGAATGCCCGGGGCCTGTGCAGGATGTGCACGCGGACACGAAGGGCGGACTTCGAGGTCCGGAAAGTCCGAATGGCCGCTGCGTAGACGGCATGAACAAACCATTTCAAGTTTTGTTCAAACCCCCCACCACATGCGTTACTTGGACATAAGAGGGGCCAGGTCGTATTGAGGGAAGCACACCACATGTCACGGTTAAACCACCCGAGGTGTGAAAGAGAATACTAACATTGACGATACCATGCACAATCCCATCATCCTGCACTTGGACTTGATCGCATTTGAGGGCAAAATCGTGGACCTATGTTTGGCACAAAAGCCGCCGCTCGCCCCAAACTCCTTCCCCAACCCTGGCCACTGCCAGCAGCACCACGCCTGTCATGGAGCTGCAGGTCGTGGAGGTCGCGGACAGCGCATCACCTAACGCCCCAAGTCGAGAAACTTGGGTTGGGCTTTGCCCTTGGCGGGCCAATATTGAGAAAGACGTCCAAAAAAACACTTCGCCCTGGGTTTGGAGCCCTTAAAACCGAGAAAGACTTCCAAAACCCCCACCCACCCCCCCGCCTTCCCTCCCCATCCCCCCCCCAAACACCGCAGGCACAGGGCCCCGCTTGCGCTCCGCGCGCGTGGATTGCGCCTCGGCGCCGGCAGGCGGCGGCGTGGCTCAGCGCCTCCGTGGCGTCGAAGGAGAAGGCGTGGCCCTGGCGCGGGGTTGGGCGGGGGGGTGGGTGGGCAGAGGGGAAGGACAGGGAGTTCAAGTCCTTGGAGGGGTTTAGATGTTGAAGGATGCCGAATGAGTTGCTCATTTTCTGGAAGCCTCCCATTCCATTTAGGTCTCCAACCCCCGAATTGGTGGTACCCTTCCCTTTCACCGAAAGGCGCAGTTTCACACCCGACCGCCCGGCACCCCCAAATCCAGCCCACCGGAGGCCTGCAGGCCGTCCTGGAAACTCGAGGCGAAGGGTGAAGAGATCGGATCAAGGAGACCGAAGGTTCAACAGGAAGCTTAGATGGGTCATGGGACCTTGGGCTGTCAATGTCTCTGCGAAAAGCCGACAAAAAGCCTCTGAAAAGGGCGGTCCCAAGACGTCACCCTTGGCCCTGGCTTCGGTTCCTTTAGGCTCCCTTTTGACAAGGAAGCCAGCCGATTCGCAGGTTGCCTTGCGGTCCTGGTGGACCTTCCCGTTGAAACCGGAGAAATACGAGCCCCGAGAGTCAAAACACACCCCAAGTGGATTGGGTCCCGCTTGAAAGTACTCAACCCCTTTTGAGCTACCAAAAAAGAGCAAGGACTCGCCCAGTGCCTGGGGCTTCGTTCCAATTTGGCCTACCTTCTGGTTGCCACTTTGCTTTTTCTTCTTCTTTCCAAGACAGACAACACCGAGCTTGCAACACATGCATTTCCAAGTCAACCGGAAACTGCAGAAACCGGACAGCGAAGGAATCCACCCACCCACCACCACCTTCGAGGCTCGGGTAACCCAGTCCTTGGCCTCCAGCTGGTCCAGGCAGACCTGGAGCTGCGCGGGCCACTCGTCGTTGGTGGGGTCCACCTCGATGAGCCGGTGGAAGCACCCCGCCGCCTGAGCCGAGCCGAGCCGAGCCGAGCCGAGCCGAGCGGGGCCGAGCGGGGCGAGGGAGCTGGGAGGAGCGCCAGGCCGGGTGGGGGATGGGTGGGTGGGTGGGTGGAAAGGGGAATGGGAAGAAAATACTGTACCTTTCACTAGGGCACCCTGGACATCATGTGATTGAATGGCAAACCAATGCCAAGGTCAATATGTGGTGAGCGACTCATTTTCTATTAACAAGTTGGTGAGCATACCCAATGTGGTTCCGATAACTACAGCGGTGTTCAAATCATCGACCCTCTCGGGTCGCGGTCCAAAACAGTTAACGAACTAGGCGGGCCAAAACCCCAACATGTTCTTCGGTTTCTGCGGGGACTCCCAAGCCAATGTAAACAGAGTAGAACACACCTTCAATTCTCCGAGAACTTCCAGCCCAAAGAACGGATGCTGAACAACCCAAGTCCAAAATGCTCCGAACGCTCAGCCCCACCCCCTCCCACCCCACACCACTCCTGACTCCACTGGCACTGACGCTGATGTAGCCGCCCGAGCAGCCGCAGCGCCCCCACCTGCCCGTGGCTCCAAGACATTCATCTCGCTGGCTCCCCGGGAATAAGTTAGAACCACCCGGAACTGAACCATCCAAGTGCTTTCCTGAAGAATCCTGGCAGGTTTGCGAGTGAATGGAGATCCCCCCGCTTTCCTGAATCCCGTCCCATGTCCCAAGTTCAGCACACCACCCACCGCCGCACCGGGCACCCGCCGCACCCTTTGGCCCCCGCGCGTGGGAGGCATCCACCTGCAGGAAGCTCACCAGCAAGCGCCGGGCCTCCTCCGCCTGTCCGAAGGCGACCGTTGGCCGACCCCGATCGGCCCGGCCGAGTTACTGAGCCGGGTGGGATCCCAATGGCCCAAATCTGGTGGGACCAACTTGGAGGATCTCAACTTGGATCTCCATATTCTTGAGCCAGACTTCAAACCTACACAGGTCTCTCGGGAGATGTGCGCCAACTGCCTTGCTGGCTCACAACATGCCTGAGGCCAGTGGGCTTGCGCTAAAAATGAGAAAGCCTCCAAAATGGCTTCGGGTAAGCTTTAAAGCAACCGCAAGAAGAAGGTACCAACGCCTCAAAACGGCACACGCAAGGGGTGCGGTGCATGAGAGCCAACAGAACGGCTGACAAGCAAGATCTGGGTCTACTAAATTGACATCCTCAAATTACCCTCTAAGTTGTGGTTTTACGCAGTTTCTCACTAGGAGCCGGAGAGACCCCACCCTCCTTCCTTTGGGTTGCCCTTGAAATACAAACCAACAGCACCAAAGTTAAGAGACCCCCGTTTGGGTGTGGGTCAAAGTAGGGGAACCCCAATCACGGGCTTCGGTCTCCCTTTGGCTTCCCTGTAAAACCAGCCTCAAAAAGGGGGCCCGCAAACAAAGAGACGCCCCCATTTAAGTGTGTCCTCGTTAGGGAAACCCCGTTTTGGTCCTGTCTTAAAGGGACACCAAAAGGAAAACCATTGGGAGTTCCAGAAATTCAAAACAAACCCGTCTCTGAGAAACACCCAATAACAAAGATTCAAAGAAATGCTGTAGCCTAGCCATGTCTTTGAGAAACACCATTTTCAAGAAACTCCTACTGGAGTATGTCTCAAAATACTGGACCCCCTTTCTTTTCATGATGTTTAAAGGCAAACAAAAAGCAACCCAACCCACCCACGGCGTTTCGTTGTTTCAGGACGAGACCCTGCGGGCCTCGCCCCGACGCTGCTCCAGGAGTGCCAAGGCGCAGGTCGCCTCGGAGGTCGCGGAGTCGCGGAGGACTCCGCTGAGTCGCTGAGTCGCAACGGGGTCCCCGGAGGTGGCTGGTCTTTGGTTGGGTGCAACGCCAAGCGGAGGTCCACCATTTAGAACCCTCATACATTCCCCAAAAACCAGAGCCCGCCAAGAGAGCGCGCCCATGGTTTTTGTCCGCCTCTTGCTCTTCAGGGAGCTTTTGGGAATGATCCCCCAGCTGGTGATTCTTCTAGGGAATCCCAAAGGGCTCGCGCCAAAAAGACAAAAATCAGCGGAAGGTAAAGCCACGAGATAGAAACCGAAGACGGACATCTTCCCAGCCCCGGGCCCTTCCCAACCACACACACATCTGTTTGCCGGACATGCCCTGGGACCAACATGACGTTTGACCAGGGTTGAAGATGTTGAAAGGAGTTGGGCAGGCAGATCGCTGATATTTTTTTGGGACACTGGAGCGCAGGTTGCTGGGATCCCGAAGCATGCTGCCCTCGACAGCAAACCCTGGCGGTTGGAGATATACTGGCTGGTTTTTTGGACATTTGTTGCACTGACGTAGGCTGGCACATGCATGACTGACTGGTTTGTTACGAGGACGGCTGGAAGTGCAGGCTGTTTTGTGGGTCTTCTTGTGTTGGCAGTGTGCCATCTCAGCTTTTAATCCCAGGAGGGAGGAACTGCCTCTAGCCATTGGTTGCGCGTGGTACGGGCAGTCTTTTTTGGCAAGTGATTGCTTCAAGCGGTTGTTTGTGGATGGGGGTCAATTACAAGTGGTTGGGTAGCCATTTTCGGCGAAGTTTGACTGCTCTGTGGGTGCAGTGCCCATTTCAAAGGATCAAGGGTCCCGCAGTCATATGGCAAGAGCAGGGAACATCGCCTGGTGAGTCGCGGCTTTTAGCTCTGCCCAGGGGCCGTCTCATCTTGAGGCTGCAACCGGTAGGCCTACGGGGCGAAGGCTCGACTTCGGACCTCCAAGCGTTTTCAACTGCATGCCGCATGCCCTTCAACAGTGATTTGAGACCCTCCCAGACCCCCAGGCTGGAAAAAAGCCGGTCCGCTCACCCAAACACAAAGGACAACAAGCAGGGTTCCCCGCGCTTGCCAGAGAAAGAAATCACAGGCAGCCGCATATTGAAGTTTCCTGACACCTGCCAGGCTCCCAGTAGACCTAGGCCCCTTTTGGCTCTCGCCTCGCATGTCGGAATTTCCCCGCGCCTCGCGGTACCAGTACAGGGCGGCACGATCCTCGGCCGAATTCGCCGCGCGTTTCGAACGGAACAAGGCCACTGGAAATGCTGACCACACATTCCAGCAGACCACTTCGCGAGTATGAATTGTAATTAGGGACCCTTTGGTGGACATAGGTGGGGATTTATGTCCACCAATCACTTTTCCGGGAGTTTTTCACTAAATTTCGTAGCCTTGTGGGTTTGACCCCAAAAGCGTGAAGAGTCCTCTCACCGAAATTCAGACTCAGGTCCAGCTGTGCCTCAAGCACCTGAAAGAAAAAATGGCTGCAACCTCGGCAAGGAACAGCCACAAAAGAGAGACCAGCCAAGCGCTTCAGCCAAGATGCGTCGTTCTTGGCGTGGTAGGCGCAACCCAAGTTGCCTTAAAGGCACTTGGTGCTCTCAACACAAACTCAACTGGCCTGCATCGCATCATGCAAGGCACACTTCACAGCATTCCGGCTTGTCCTCTGCGGCTTAGAAGGCATGTCCATTTTCAGAGCTGGGGCCACTCTAGAATGGCGCGCAACAGTGCTAAAACCTACATTGCGAATAGACGAAACAGGAACCTAGAGGGGCTTGTGCTGCTTTTTGGGAAACAAGCAGGAAAACGAAAAGTCCCTAACGGGACCCTCCCCCTCCAAAAGGAAAACCAAAAGACCATTCTTGGGGTCCAAGTCCCCCTTGGTCTTGCCTTCCTTGTTTTCTGGCCTTTTGGGGTTGGTTTACAAGGAAAGCAAAAAGGAAGCCGACCTTCCTGGAGAGTCTCCGTATTCTGAGCCACACCCCGCCCCCATTTTGGCGAGCTCTGGGGTCTGCGGCTGCAGGCCACGTGGCTCTGCGACAGCTGCCGGGCGTCGTGCAGCTCGCGGATGGACCTCGGCACGAAGAAAAAGTCCGCGGTCCATCCACCCCTTGTGCTCTGAACTCGAAAATCAGGAGTCCTTTTCCGGGTTTGTGTGGGGGAAATTGTGTGCCTTTTGATCGTCTCCCCCAGGATGTGTGGAAAAAATCGTGTGAATAGTGTGCACGAGAATGAGAGAGTTCCTCAGACTTTGCGTCTCTACAACCCACCCACCCCGCCCCGCCCCGCTTTGCCCCGGGTTTCCGGACTCCTCCGTGCGGCCCTCGTGCAGCAGCCGCGCGCCCCGCTTGGTGGCGCGCAGCGCCTGGCGAAAGGCTCCCCGGGGCTGGGGCTGAGCCCCGGAGCCCCGGGGCTGGGGCCCCTTGGGCTCGGGGTGGAAGCGATTCACAGGCCCCAAGGCTACGGCAGCCCAAAACGGGACCAAAATAAAAGCTAAAACCCGCGTAGGAACCCCTCTTTGATTTGAGCCATACATGTCTAACCTAAGCATCCATGGGCACGTACAGGGGTACCGACTCGATGTCAGACCTTCAAATCAGGGAAATGTCAAACGGTGATGGATAAAGCGAAACGACGGCATCTTCGGGAAGCCCGGGTTGGGTGAATTGGGAGGCGGAAATGAGATTGACGTCGGGGGCGAAACTGTCAGAAAGCCGCCGTTGAGGCTGAAAGGTTTGTGGGATCCGCACTCGGCTTGCTCATTTGTCCAGAACGTACCTTGCAACTCGAGGGCTTAACAATGTGGATGGATGTCATCGAATTCCGACCGCAGTGAGAAATTACTTGAGCTACAATTCAGAAGCTTGCTTATTTTGAATTGGTATCAGCGGCCGCAGAACCAAGCAGTCACGACTGCGGAACTTGCCGGACAAACGACTCCCTTTGTGTATGGGCATGCAGCGGTGCAAGCCACAGGTCTCTTTCCTGTTTTCCTGAGCTTCGTCGGTTCATCAAGACAGTCTTTTGATGAAGCGCTGGGGGTTCCGCTTAGCGTCAAGGGGGTTGCCCGTGGCGCGAAGCTGTCACCAGCCTCAGGGTGGTCAGCATCCAACGGGTGCAGCACAAAGATGTGAGAGAGGGCCACATCCTGACAACCCGCGGCAAAGACATCTGAGTGAAAGTCAAACGGGACGTGAAAACTAGGCCGATGATGCCAAGCCAACAAGCGTTTCCCGCTTCTGTGGCTTTGAATTGCACGGGAAACGGGTTTGGTTTTGGCTGACTCACGCTTATGACTGATGCTGCAGTTTGCCGAGCGGCCCCGTGTCGCCGCTCCGCTCAAGCACTTTCGGTGTTAGCGGCGTGCGGTTGGATCTTGACATCAAGGCCTTTCTGAGGGTTAGCCATTTGGAGGTTACCCATTTTGGGCAGCCCTGCCTTGAGGGCCCACGTTCAGGCTCAGGCCCTTTGCTTCAAACAAACCGCCTGCAAAGACGCTCTCTGTGTAATGCCGCCTGTTGAAAACAACCCTCGCTGAATAGGCCATGCCTCTTGTCGTGGGGCGGCCGCACCACATGTGGCCCCCAGCGCCTGTCGGGAAGCGACCGCGAACTCAGTTGGGGCTCTCGGTTGAATGGGCACATCCCAAATTCGGAAACCCACAAAATAGGTGGCGGTCCTTTTCAACCTCCTTGTTGAGCACAGAGCCACAAACATAAAGCTGGAAATGTATTGGCCCAAGCCGGCGATGCCAACAGTGCATTGGATCTGCGCCAGAAAACGTCCAAACCCGGGCCATTTCCTTTGGAGGGCCCAAAAGGCGGGTCTAAAGACTAAATCACTTGCTTCCCAATGGATTTATGGGGTGGGTACTTTCTTGCAAGTTCCAACAAACGAAGTGTCTACCAATCTTGTCGGCTCATGAGCCTCTCGAGCCCAAAAACTGCACCTTGGCCTTGGGCCAATGAGAAAAACCCACCGTCGAAGCTTTGGGATCCACGGATCTCAAACGTAAGCCAGGTCTTGTCCGATGCTTACAATCGGATCCGTCGAAGCCTTTACTCCCATAGTGCAACAAGCCCCGACGAGCCTCCAGTGTAACGCTTGGAACCTCCCAGGTCACCCAACCCAAGATTACTTCACCCCATCGCAGGAAATGTGTTGATCTCGGCCATGAGGATGGGGGTTTTTACCTTATCCCATACCCAACCTACCCCCTCAATAGTAGTAATAGTAGTGTAAACATATCAGGAAATCAAATGTGGGTGGGTCCCTCAAACTGGCTTCCCCAAACACAGAAAGCAGCGCAAAACCTCAGAGCTTCCACTGGTTCTCCTCCCTGCCGAAGGCGCCTGCAGCTTGTCCCAAACGCTCCGCACGTTGCTCACAAAGCTCTCGAAGTCCATCCCCGGCCTCAACGAGAAACGAAAGGATGGGCTGAACGGTCCCTTTCGCAATGTGTGGATTTACGAGTGGCCAGGGTTGGCATTGGTTGAAACCAGACCCAAGTGTCTTTCTGAGGGGTTGTGTCCCCCCCCATCAAGTCCAAGGCCACATATGGAAGACAAAGCAATCAATGCCATGCTGGGGATCCTGAGTCTTGCAGTTTGTCTGAATGGGCAGATTTTAATTGAGAACCCTTTGGTGGACATGGTTCCCACTCAACGCCATAGCCGACTCCGCCTGGCACATGCATGTTGTTGAGCCCGTGGCAATCACATGCCCGCCGGGTCCGGCCGGAGTCACATCCCGCAGGCTGGGAAAACGCCAGCCAGCGGCAACTTGCATCGATCTGCAGCCTGGGGTCCCCAAGGGGGTCAAGGGAAACCCAATGCCCCAGGCAGTCCGGCAGTCCGCCGGATTCAAACCTCTGCTTGGAAAAAACCAATGAAAAAACACGCAGCCAAAGATGTCAAGTGGTCAACACTGACCCCCCGCGCCTTCAAAATTGATTCATGGTGTTGGTGTACACTGTACATTCAACCCCCAAGGGCCTTTCTGCGCAAGCAGCAGGCGGCAAGCTGTGTTGGGTTGGGTTGGTTGCTTGCCAACTTGCTTCCCGCCAAGAGTGCTTTGTTGCACTGCAACCCAGAATTTAGCAAACTGAAGGCTTTGGTTCTTTGCCACTCCAGTCAAGTCTCAAGTCGGATGCTCGCATTCTGCTGGTTCTTTGAAGGAATACGAATCCAACCATTTTTGGGAACACCCAGTTATCTCCCAAGCTGGACTAGGTGTGTCAGGTGGCCAAAAGGGCGCTCAAAGCGAGCACAATTGATTGTCTCTAAGAATTTCACGTGGTGGGACTATGCGTCTCCCAAAAAAATGTACCACATTTTGCTTGGGCAAACAAACGAACGCTAAAACTGGCAGGTCCAAATCCAAATTGCGCGTTGCTCCGCCAACCGTCCCTCAATAAGTCGGCGTGGCCAAAATTTACGAGCCAGGGACCATTTGCCAGGGTTTCCAAATTGTGTCTAACTTGCCTGCAACTGAAAGAGCCAAGAAAAAGATCGGCATTCGCAAGGTGACCAACGTGGAACATATCATGCAGCAAGGGAACCCTCAAAAATTGCAGTCTCCAGCCTGAACAGGTTATCTGCAAAAAAAATGTTGGGCCAGGGGTCTAAGCAGGGCGGCCGGTCATCCTTCACTCTGCACAGTGTCCAGCGCGGCTTACCTTTCGCAATCCAGCACGGCGTACTAATAATTGAGGACTGCACGCACGTTGGTCACATTTGCTGGAACCTTTTGCGAAACCCGAAAGGAGGCTTAACTTGCCCCATTTGGGGTTCAGCGGGGTAACCCTCAAACTTCTTCGTAGGGTTTAGTAACTTTCCTTAAACCCTCACTTTAGGGTTCAGGTTGCGGGTTCTTGCCCTCATTTAGGGTTCAGGTTTCGGTTTTGACTTGCCCTCAGACCCCCCGTTTGGGGTTTAATTAGGGTTTGCTTTTGGGGTTTAACTCCTTGATTTTAGGGTTCAGGCTTGGTTTAGGTTTAGGTTTAGAGTTTAGCCCTCAAACCCCCCGCTCTTCAGGGGTTGGAGAGCTAGAATAGCCCCCAAACATGCACATAGTCAAAAAGCCGCACCCTGCGCAGCTGCACGCATCGGCGAAAGCTGCCGATCGGGCGAGGGAATTGAGCCTTTCGGAAGACAGTCTCCGGGCAAACCTAGTTGTAGTAAGAGTAGTAGTAGTAGTAGTAGTAGTAGTAGTAGTAGTAGTAGTAGTAGTAGTAGTAGTAGTAGTAGTAGTAATGGTAGCGGCAGTAGTCGTTAGTAGTTAATAGTTAGTAGTTAGTAGTTAGTTGTTAGTAGTTAGTAGTTAGTATTTAGTAGTTAGTCGTGAGTAGTAATCGTAGTAGTAGTAGTAGTAGTAGTAGTAGAAGTAGTAGTAGTAGTAGTAGTAGTAGTGGTAGTAGTAGTATAGTAGTAGTACTTGTAGCAGAAATCGAAATCGTAGTAGCTCTTGTCCCAAGAAAAGTTCAAACTTGCTGAGCAACAGCCATATGCAAAATTCCTCTCTATTTTTCATTCCATTTGCAAAGCATAAACTTACCCAAAAGCATAAGCACATATATATTTCAGAATCTTGCATTCCATAATGTCAAGAGACGGCAAGGTGACGTCCCGTGGGACGCTGTCCACCGAACCCTCCAGCTGTGTGTACCCAACCACGTAGAAAGGTGTATACGGTCAAACCGTTATAGCCGAACCCGTGTAAACTGTTGTAAGGGATAAGGACCAATAACCACGATGGTGACCCTGGCAGCTGTGGCGTGAATGAAGTATTTTCCACTCTCTATGGTCGATCACGTGCGAACGTAGTTCATGCAAGACCTTGAGCCCTACTTGTGACTTGAGCCAAATGGCAGTCAATGGAACATTGTAACCAACAATAACACAGACCTCAGAGCAGCTTCCCAATTTAGGCACGGGGCCAGGAGGGTTTTAACATCCCCCATTTGGGTCGCATCGTTCATCGTGCGGTCCAAACACCACAACACGTTCCAATGGCCACGGCTCCGACTACGAAACTGTGTCGAACACTCTTTCATTCACTATTGCTACACCGTCCATTCATTGTGAAACTTGCCAGGTCCAATCAAGACAGAAACATGCATCCGCAAATCGTAGCACATTCCTATACTCAGATGCAAGAGACATTTTGCCTCTCGCGCCAACACGCAACCACTTGAAATCCCGGCTGCCGCATTTGCGCATCGCGCAGCCGTCATCCACAGAAATGGGTTGGCCATAGAAATCCATAGTAGCGCACGGTCATAAGCCATCTGAATATCATTGGCAAAGAAAATTTGGCGAGCAACATGCAAAATAGCCATTCCAGATACCACGAATAATATAAGGAAAGGAAATCGTCCATGAGGTAATAGTGCACATCCATGAATATCCGGAATGTCATAGCCGTCGGAATATGTAAATACATACACATCCATTCACCTTGGACGCATGAAATTATATCACGTCAAAGAAATGTTCCATCGTAATGAAATCGATGAGACGCAAGCGATGGATGGGGACTAGCCCACATCATGCCGCAATCCATATTGAAGTGAATTCTATATGCTGCTGCTGATGGATGCACCATACCGCATAAGCAATGATAATCCACATCTGCATCACGCAGGTCGGTCCCCAATGGTCAACCTGTTGATGCGTCGACGGAACTCTTCGTCCAAATGTTGTTGGGCATCTTGCGCCCGGACGCACTTCTTGTGATGCTCTTCCGATAGCCAGTGTCCCTTTCGGAGACACCAATCCAGCAGGGGTGCGTCGCATTTGTTCGGGTCAGTGGCCGCAATGATGGCGCTCACGTTGACCGAATAACCATATCTGCCAAGGTTCAAGGCTGATCTTGTGAATGATATATATTTGCTGTTGAAAGCCAGGGAAAAGCATCTGTAAACAATACCACCCACCGGGTGTATGATCCTTGACCAGGAGCTTCATCTCGTCTTTGGTGATGCCGAGGATCTTCGCTGCAATCCACAGTTTGTAGAATATGTATAGCCCCTCGCATTTGGACACCAAATAACGGATGTATTGGTTGCGCTCCTCCATCGTCCGGAAGGTCCTTGCCCGGACGTTCTGAGATTGGGTAACCTTTTGCTCCGTTGATGGCATAAGGATCCCTTCATGATCAATCTCAGTGATGTTGGGGTACTTCCCAAAATCGTTGTGGTGCGGGCAAGAGACGGTCCCTTCGAGAGCGGCATCGATCGTTCTCTTTTCCCCACCCTCGAACATCCCCCACATCTTTGACATCTGCAGTGCGATGAATCCCGCCATGTATTGAGCCTCTCGTGGCTCGTCCATGCAGATCGCCATCCGCTGGGAATTGATGATATCCCGTGATGCCATGTCATTGTCGCGGTACTCCCAACCAAAGTCTTCTTCTTCAGACATGTAACCAGATGTGTATCCTTGCGCGCCCACGTCGTCGTCTTCGGAATCGTTTTCCGTCTCATCACCCTTTTCCTGCTCCGCCGCGTTGTCGTTAGCCTCGTCTTGCGCTCGTCTGGCGTCACCTGACACATTGGGTTTATGGTCGTCCCCCTCGTCGTCGGAACCAATGTGGATGCAGAATCTCCCGGTAGAAATTAATTGCGCCCCACATTCCAGACATACACAGAAGCACGTGGGAATCGCGGTTGCACATGACGGACAAATTCGGCATCGTAGCCCCTCCCACGTCTCGTCGTTCAGGATGATGGTCTTGCTGATCTCGTCCCTGATCTCGTTGGTCAGAGTATCAAACTCTTCTACTTTGTTTTCCCGAAGCAGTCCGCAGGCACGATCCACCATGCCTTGAACGTAGTGCACATTGTCGGCACCCGCCTCTGTTTCAGGCATTCCCTCGATGATCTTTGCGACGTTCTGAAGGAACATCGTGGCCGACTCCTGGGAAGAACCAACGAATCCCGGACAGATCTCATTCTCAACACATTTTGAGTACGCTCGCTTGATGCTCTCGTACTCCAGGCATTTCCCTCCGTTGCTCTTGCCAATCCAAATGGATTTGACCCACGTCAAAGACCATAAATGCCCCGTTGAACGCGACTCCAGCTCCGTATCGCGCGAGGGTCGCACTGGGAATGTAAATGATTGCAAGCGGACCTCCAGTCCTCAAATTTCGTAGCGTCGTCTTCGTTGCTACGTTCATCTCATCCCACGGAGCAAATACCCCGAAGTGCAACCGCCATCGATTCGGCCGGGGACTAGCCCACAGCGTACAATGCTTGGCAGGTTCTCTACGTACGTCACATGGAATGCTCCTCCGAGAGTATCACCCATCCTTGCAGAATACTTATTTGCCAATGCGGATGAGCTCATGAAGCCAAAGTCACTGTGACCAGTTGTGACTCGGATGCACCAAGGCCTGTACCATCCATCGCATCTGTTGAATATTCTTTCGATGTCACCCCGATCCAGGCCAATGTAGTTCAACTCCTCTTTGGCGGCCTTCATGTCGTTCGGGTTCATGATGCTGCTAGGACCTGGAACCTTGATTTCTTATGTCCAGATTCCTGCCACTTGATCACTTCCATGATGCCCATGCAATGTTTCGTTCCAAAGCTTTGGACATAATTATACTATATATACTATTATAAAAAATATATTTCTTTAACTATTCTTTTTTACAAGAATTGTTTTCTACAAAAACTATAGATTTTTAAACTTTCAATAATTCAAATCTTAAGAATGGTCGTGTGTTATGTTCCAAATAAAAAATAAGTTTGT